AACGTCGGCTATCACTGAACTTAGAGAGGACCTCTGATCAGTCACCACCAGAATCACGGAAGTCGAACATGCTGTAACATGCCATGACACAACAATAACCAACATACAATCCACAGTGGCACACCATAACTTTCAGCTAATCGAAATGCAACGCCACATGGAGGATTTAGACAACCGTGGTCAAAAAAGGAACCTGAGGGTAAGAGGCATACCAGAATCTGTAGAAACGGAACAGATACCCCAGGCCCTCCAAGCTTTAACCACTTGCTGCCCGGCCTATAGTCAAAAGACGGCTGGGCGAACACCTCTTCCCTCCGGGAAGGCGTCATATAACGTCCTTCCCGGATCATGCTTTGCGCTGTGGCGAGATCTGTCACCGGCTGTGTACCTAGGACACGGCCGATGACAGATCTGTGTACTCTCATTGCCAGTACCATGTGACCTGCTGTGTCCCTGATCACCGCCACACCAGTTATATGCTGATACTGTACTGCACTGGTGACAATAGGTAAGAAAAAAATAGTGAAAATAATTTTTTTAATTTCTTAATGTTCTGAAAAATTATGACAAAAAAAATTACAACTTTAAAAAACTTACCATGCCTCTTATGAAATACGTCAGACTGTCTACTTTGCAAAAAGGGGTCATTGGGGGGATATCTGTACTGTTCTGACATTTTTTGGCCTCAAGAAATTAAATTGGCTGTCAGTAGTCAAGGATTGATCAATTTTCAGACATATCCCATAGTTTATGAACTCTATAACTTTCCTACAGACTAAATAATAAACACTGATTTGGGTTATTTTCACCAAAGAAATGTAGCAGAATACATTGTGGCCTAAATTTATGAAGAACAATTATTTATTTGCAAACCTTCATAACAGAAACAAACATGGTGTCAGGGATCCAGTCACCGTGCAGTGGTGTGACGGATCCCCTCGGTCCGTGGCGGTGTGAGTGCGCAGACGTGGGAGCGTGCCGCCACGCATTTGCGGTAGCGCGGAAAACCCGCGCATGCGCAGTGAGCATATACGTCACGCCAGGCGGGCTATTTAAACCTGTAAAGTAGTAACATCAAATGCCTTCTGGTCTAAAAACGTTCCTGTATACATTTCCTGATCTTGATACCTGCATTCTGCATACCCGTCTAAGAAAGAACTCCGCCTGCACTGACCCCGGCTATCCCTGACCATTCTCCTGCCTGCTCCACTTGTACTGATCTGCCCGCTTGTTACCGATCTGGCCTGCCTAACTCTGCTGTATTACTCTGCCTGCACCTGCACCTGACCTGCATCCTGTCAGCTACAATATCCACCTACCGCTGTACCCACGGGTACGCCTCTGGCTTGTGTCCGGACCACCGCCATATACCCGTCAGCCACCGCATCCACGCACTGGTGCCCAGTTCCAAGGCCCGCACCCTGACTGCTGCCACACCTGCTTGCTGCTGTACCCTACGTTCCTGCACCCGCACCTGGCTTGTGTCCGGACCTCCTGGGTTCCCAGCTACCTGCTGACAGCTGCAAGATCTACACGGCACTCCTGCCCCTCCTGGCTCTGCGCCCCTGTTCCCACTTTCAGGGGTTCTGAGCGGGAGTTGCAAGAGGACGCCCCCTCTTAACTTCAGTTTCCCCTACCAGGTACGTGACATGTGGGTTTTTTTTTCAAAATTTTTGGTCTTTATTTGTTAATTTAGCAAAAAATAAAAACCCCAGTGGTGATTAAATGCCACCAAAAGAAAGCTCTAGTTGTGTGAACAAAATTATAAAATTTTAGTTTGGGTACAGTGTTGCATGACCGTGCAATTGTCATTCAAAGTGTGAAAGTGTTGAAACCTAAAAATTGTCCTGAGCAAGAAGGGGGTAAAAGTGGCCACTATTGAAGTGGCTAATAACCTGCTGGAGCGACCTCTGGACTCCCCGGTGACATTTGAAAGGACACACAGAGCCTTAAGGCCCAGAGGGAGACACACAGATCCACCTCGAGACATCGCCTGCTGTTTTAATGACCTTCATCTTAAGGAAGAAGTAATCCGTGCAGCTCGAGACCAAGAGGAGTTCACATTCAATGGGTCTGAAGTCCAGGTATACCAGGACTTATCCCAAATTACCCTCCGTAATCACAGAGTGCTTTGACCCCTGCTAGAGGTACTCAGGGAACGCGAGATACCATACAGATGGAGGTTCCCATTCTTCAGACAGCCTCGCACGCAGGCCGCATGGCAGTTCTCAGATACCCAGAAGATCTTCAACAATTTTGTGATACTCTATATATCCCACTCACAGAAGTGCCACACTAGTACCACGAGTTCCATATGACTTTTGGTGGGCAGGCTGGCAAATTGAAGGATCCCAGTACAACATCCCGAAACCATGGTAGATCTCACTCTTCTCGCCGGAACCCTCGGAGATGAGCAGTGGAGAATCCTTCAGATCTCCCCCAATCTTAGATGAGCATTCATTCTCTTAGTAGCTCTATACCCAGATTGATAGCCTGGAACAGATCTTCCCGTCTGAAGAGTTAAACTTGCGCATTTTTGTTTTTCTCCTTTTTCTTGTTTGCCCTCCCATGTTTCCACGTAATCTGTTCCCAGGATGAAAGACAAGAGGAGAAAGGAGAGGGGAAGAACATGAGGAAAGAACGAGGAAAAGTTTTGCGGGGCTACTCCCGGCCTAGGTAATGAAGCAACAACGGAATCTCGAGAGCTCAAATCCCCTATTTGTGTATATAACATTTGATTTCAATGGCTGTGCCTTAAGGGGGACAGAAATAGGCAGCTATGGCTTTTATGGTTCCTTTTCTTAGCATTTAGAAGAACTTGCATACAAGTTTTGTATTGCAAGCATGCCCCTGTGGATGTTTGCCTCCCCCTCACTCTCATTAGCATTATTGCTATTGTGATGATTATTTTTTATATATGCTCACTACTTACTCTTATGCTATTGTGAAGCTTCATATAGTAAGCTTACTACAAATGGGTATCAGAGGCCTGTCTTACATCACATATTTTTTCGTCGGAGATTTATGGAGCCAAAGATTTTGCAATAGCCTTCTAGGCAAAAGCCCTTATATTCCCAAAATTGAGACATTCCCTCTGTTTCTCATGTCCCAACAGGGTTTGTAGAGCACCAATTGCATATATATCAAATACCATACACAAGATTTGTACTTTCTAAACCCATGGTACTCCATGCCTGGGCCAATCTCTGATGACCTGAAACAATTGGTCGCCTTACATAGGCCATACATCCTTGCAGTTCACTGTTGACAGATTGTTGTTACCCCATTGTATTAGGCATAGTTAATATGTTTCTAGCTTAGTTTGTGTTATGGTTGATGTTCAAGCTAAACAGGCAGGGTTACTTTCATGCTCTGTTTCTCGAGGTACACTTACAATTTGAGACAACCAATTAGACCATTTCTTGCGATTGTCTATGACCTTTCCACACCCCCCACAACATGGCAGGATTGCCTTAGAGGGACCATTGTTCCTCAGGGTACTTGCCAACGTTGACCGTCTCCAGTACACAATCCTTTTTTTTCAAGACCGATTGGCTCTTACCAAGGTCTTCATGGAGTAGTAATCCCCCCCTCCCCCCCCTTTTTTTTCCACTCTCCTTCTCCCCTCCCTTCTCTACTCTTACCATTCAGGTTAGGTCAGTTATCAGAGTAAGTTCTTCCATTTTCTCTCTGTGGTTGAGGGAGCCCTGGAGAGAAGATTTCTGGAGCCCTCCCGGATTACATAAACCTCACTAAATTTAGCTACGTAAATAAGAGCTCTCTTCTCGATCGGCGAGATATGGCCCATGATAGCTCTATGGCTTCTGACCGAGAATACAAATTCCTCTCTTTTAACATCAAAGCCCTTAAAAACTTTGGCGCTTAGATGCCTCTCTTTTAATAGATCCAATAGATTTTAGTAAGCTTCCAAAAATGTTCAACTTAACGACTCTGAAGTTCCTCTTATGACCCAATGGGAAAAGTATAAATGTGTTATTAGAGGAGAATCCCTGGCTCTGGTATCGAAGCGCAAAAGAGAATTGCAACATCACATTAGAGAGCTTTCCAATCATATTTGAATGCTAGAACAGGCACAGACAATCACAGCTTCAAGCCATGTTAACGGATCTTACAAAACTTAGGGAAGAACTGAGGGATCTTAAAGTTAGATGCATAATCACTTTAGACCAGAAAATTTTCCACGAACAAAGCAAAAAAGTAGCTGCCTCTTGGCACCTATGTTGGTTCCCAAACTGTCTACAATGGCCATAGAAAAATTCCACGATGCTTCGGAATCGGTATATGAAGCCACCACGGACATAGCAAAACAATTTAAAAAATATCATGAACATCTTTACATCAGAGACGATGCAACTGTACGTCCCTCATTGGAGCAAAAATCACAGAAAATACAATCCTTTTTTTTTTTTTTAACAATTTGCACCCCCAGCCTTATCTACTACAGATGCACAGACATTAGAAGCTCCATTGACCGAAATGGAACTTCACTTAGCCTTGAAACAAATAAAACCAGGTAAAAGCCCAGGACCGAATGGCCTTACCACCCAATACTATAAAAGCTTTGAAGGGATCTTAGCTCCTCACTTTATGAAGGCCTTTAATTCTCTCCAGGATCATGCACCTCCCAAGAGCTTACTTTCCGCACATATCACAGTTTTGCCAAAATTAGGGAAAGATTCAGGTTTAATCTCTAATTATAGGCTGATCTCACTCTTAAATGTAGATGCCAAACATTACGCAAAAATCTTGCTCAACCGTCTTTTGCCCTTTATGGTGAATTGGATCTCTTGAGCACAGGTGGGCTTTGTTCCTGGTCGCGAAGCAAGGGACAATACATTGAAAGCTGTTAGCATTCAGGCTTGGATCAGACGGATGCAACACAAGGGCCTTCTCCTGTCCACGGACGCGGAGAAGGACTTTGACTGCAGTGCCTGGGATTACATGTCTGGAATGCTAAAGGTGGTTGGATTGCACTCTATAATGTATAATTGGATTCAGGGGCGGACTGACAACTAATGGGGCCCCCGGGCAATAGGGGATCATGGGGCCCCAGTGTCCTTGCCCACACTCAAACCACACCCAAAAAAGCCTATGAAAGGTACCAGGGGCATCTCATGGGGCCCCTAACTGACCCCGGGCCCTCGAGCAGTGCCCGAGATTCCGAATGGCCAATCCGCCCCTGATCGGATTATGGCCCTGTACTCTAATTCCTCAACCATCGACTCTTTTGATATACATAACAGTACATGACAGGGAACCCTTCCTTAGGAGTTTACAAGAAAATACCAAAATTAAGGGTTTTCAAATTGCGACCAAAAAATACAAATACACAGCATACGCAGATGATATTCTTTTGTTTATTCAAGATCCACACACTATACTTCCAAGCCTCTTGAATGCTTTTAACGATTTATCTTCCCTATCCAATTTCAAAATCAACTACTCTAAGTCACATGCTTTGGGCCTCAAGCTATCTGCTAAAGAAATTTCCTCCTAAAAGATACAATTTCTCTTTTGTGTGGAACCCAGATGGCATTACTATTTAGGAATAATGATTCCAGCGACCCTGACGACTTATATACGAAAAACTACATCCCGCTGATGAAAAATATCTCCCAAAATCTTTCACAGTGACAGTCCAAACCCCTATCCTTGTTTGGGTGAGCATCAGTGATTAAAATGAACATCCTATCCCACCTATTGTATGTAATGCAGACTATTCCTATCTCTCTACCTAAGCAGTTTTTTACACATCTTCGCAAAATGTTTAGCAGATTTATTTGGCACCAAAAAACTACTCACATAGCATTTTATTATCCATCCCTGCCTAAATCTAAAGGAGGGATTGGTTTACCTGATATTAAAAAATACTTCTGGGCCATTCAGCTGGCTAGAATAGTTGAGTTGTCAGTTCATAGCCAGTCAAAAGACTGGGTGGGGCTGGAACAGCCCAACATACCTCTTGCCACCCTCCCTTGGATACCATATCGACATTGGAAATCTATCACAAAGGGACATCCTTTCACCATATCTACACTGCAATGTGTCTCTGCAGCTGTTTCCAAATACCAAATTTCTTGAATCTGGGCCCTCTAACCACTGTTCGTTAGAACCCAGGTTTTCCCCCTGGCAAGCCTGCCACATTTCCTCATCCTAAGTGGTCCGAATCCTCCCTATTGGCACACTTTTTCTTCCATAAAGGTACTTTTATGGAAAGATCAACTTTATTGGTGCAACATTGAGATTCCCCAATATCTTTTTGGGCATATTTTCAAATTAGGCACTTCCTCAAAGCCTCAAATCATTCCATAGATTCTTTCCTTTTGAATCCATAAGTTCTCGCAATTCTCTGCAGCGCCATATGATCTCTACCATTTATGCACTTCTATATGCCCAAAGTTCAATGGGCACAGCCCTTCATGCAAAGCATGGGAAAAGGACTTGGATTGTTCTTTCAGGGAAGAGGAGTGGGAACGAATACATATAATGGCCCATAAAAACTCCCTTAACGTCTCTGTACAATAAAATGCCTATACATTTAAAGCAAGGTGGTACAGAGTACCACAACTTATCCATAAATGTACCCATTCGTCAACTGATAAATGTTGGAGGTGCCAATCTGAGGAGGGTTCATTTCTCCACATTTGGTGGTCTTGCACCCTTTTGCCAGATACATAATGGCATAGAGTACATGATATCCTACAAGTCACAGATGACTTAGTAACATTTTCCCCAGCTCAATATCTATTTCATGTGATCAACCAACCACTAGATTGTTACAAAAGATAACTAACATTTCATATGATAAACGCAGCTTGAATGTGCACACCTACACTCTGGAAAACCACATGGGTTCCTAGTTTGAGGAATTGGCTTGGTAGATTGAAAAGGATAGCGAAATGGAAGAGTTGATTTACATTTCCCAAGACAGAATAGCTTCCTACACTTCCACTTGGGCATGTTGGATCCATTTTCAGACCACAGACACCTACAAACAAATTATGACCTGAATAAAAACACTTGGTTCTATATTCTTTAACTGATTGTACCCCTGCCAAGCCTCTTTTCTTGGATTTCTTGGAGAAGAGAGTGTGAAATAATTGTAATTGAGATAATTGAAAGATTTACATTTTTCTAATAAATCAGCACAATTCTTAAATACCGGACTCTCTCTGATCACATCCAGAGCAGTCAACTCATCAGTGATATACTGAAGCTCAAGTCACTGGGAAACACTCTTCCCCCCGGGATCCCTGCCACGGATGCTAAAAGGGTTTTTTTTTTTTTCTCTTTCTTTTTCAGATGACTGGTCCCCCTGCGTGACTACAAGACCTTCCCTACCCAAATCCCAACTTTCACGCCCCCCCCACTCCCCCCCCCCCCCCTTTTTGCTGGCAAACCATTGATAATCCTAGGAGATCAGTTCTGTCGGGATTACAATTATTCTTTTCACCCTTGAAACGGAGCAAATCTAAGATTTATTTATGTGACATAGGGACTTTTGATACTTGTGATTTATTTATTTATGTTTTCCCTTTCTCATTTCCCTTACCTAAAGCAATACACTGTATCTGTTTATGATTCATTAAGCTTGACCTGTATTATTCCTTGACATAATTGTTCATTGTTACTTACCTCAAAACTTCAATAAAATACTACGGAATAAAAAAAAGGCATGCAAAAATTAATGGAATGATGTACAGTAAAAAGTATTTCACTCCTTCAAGTATAACTGTAATAAATTGTAAGGGTGGGAAAGATTCTCCCTCTGCGACCCTAGCAACCAACCAGCAAATCACCCTTAGCCTATTAGGGAGAATTTAGAATATAGAATTTTCAGTAATTACCATACTGTTAGAACAGACATCAATCAAAAGGGAACATTTTCTGAATAGGTGAAAAGCTGGAAATCTGTTTACATGGGTTACAGGTTGTTTATGATGAATTTGTGGATAGGTAATGCTTTTTTAAGGCGCTGAACATGCCGATTCATTTCACTGCTGTCTTCAAATTGGCCTGTGATAACTTTTCAGAAAGTATTTTAGTGGTAAAGAAATGTTGCCATAGATTCACATGTGAACTAATCTAAATTTAATTTCGTGCATGACTTGGAGAAGAGAATAATGATAGTAGCTGGTTATGCTTTTGTAAGAAAATACTGTACATCACTTTATTTTCAAACACGACTCCTTTCTTTTAATCATTACTTTCTGGGAATCTAAAAATCTTACAAGCATATTTTATTAATAAGTTATGTACAGGATAATATTTTATTGCTTCCTATTAGGGTTCATGTACACTGCAGCTGATAAACTGACGTTCAGGAGCTTTTCTGTGTTTTTTTTTTTTAGCAGCCCCTGAACTCTCCCTAATGGTTTGCTATGTGTCCATGTACACATCGTCGTTTACAGTCGTTTACAGGCAGTTGAGTTTACAACTGTTTTCTTTAACGCACCAAAATTGCGTTCAGGAGTAGATTTTATCAGCGTTTCAAATGCCAAACTCTTGCAAACACTTTTTAACTGTTCCATATCCAGATGCTGTCCAAAATGGTAGAACGTGCTGCATTATGCTCATGATGGGATCCATAGTGAATACAACCAGAAAAAATAGGTAATCTCAACACATACTGCTCTCTCTGCTTCTGCTCTCTCAAAATGTCTGAAATAGTTTTTTATTGTTTTTCAGTGCGTTCCGGGCAGGGAAGAGAAGGGTTAAAAAACGCTTCTAAACGCAAACGCTCATAAACGCGGTATGCAAACGCAGCTAAACAGACGTTTTTAACCTACATTTTCCAACAGTCAGGTTCCATCGTTCAGAAGTGTTTTCCAAATATCCAGTGTACATGGAGCCTAAAATGTCAGTGTCAGCTCAGCTGAGGATACAGACTGAAAAAAAAAACTTTTTTCATGTTGCAATCTGCACAGTAATACGTTAACATAAATTAGTAAGACCTTATCTGGAATATACTAAAAAAAAAGTATGTGAACTTTTTTTTGCACTAAAATGTGCTCTGAATTAAGTCACAACAATAGATGGCAAAACCAAACTTAATATATGACTGTACATCTGCACTCAAAACATCCACCATGTGCTCAAAATATGTTAAATACCAATATGTTGCGCTGCGCTGTTTTTAACTTTAAGGTCATCACAGAGAACAAGGGGGCACGCTTTACGTCTGGAGAGAGAAGAGATTTAATCTCCAAATATGAGAAGAGATTTAATCTCCAAATATGGAAAGGCTTCATCACAATTTTAAAGTCTATGTAAAGGCAATTTTTTTTTTTAGATTTGGAAAGGATGGGAGGGTTTCATACTATATCTCCTGTCAAGTTGTTATTGCTTTCCATGTCTCCACTTGGGTGATTAACCCTCTGTTCTGGTGACCTTTTTGATTCCTAAGGCAGAAAGTGAGAGAAAATCCAAAACATTAGAGCTGTCACCACAGCAATGGGTGAGGATAAAACTTTATTGAATGGGGTCCTCCCATGTACAGATGTTTTATTGGGTAAAAACTGTCTAAGATGGGAATTTATCTCTTAATTCTGGTCCTTGCAGTGCATTTTTACACTACCACGCTTAAGAAAATGCTGCTCCTAGAGGAGTTTTTGGAGCGGGTTTCCTTGTATCTGGCAAAAAAAAGGGCAGGACAGCTGGAAACACTCCTAAACGCTAGTACAAAGAAAGATCTAAATTAGCGTTTTTTTTTTTTACATGTTATGTGCTGCCAAGAGGACTGGCAATTTTTTATGCCCAATTTAGGCCAGTTTCCATGTCTCCACTTGGGTGATTAACCCTCTGTTCTGGTGACCTTTATTCCTAAGGCAGAAAGTGAGAGAAAATCCAAAACACCACAGTGGGGTCTGTGCAGCTAGTACAAAGAAAGATCTAAATTAGCGTTTTTTTTTTTCTGCCAAGAGGACTGGCATCCCTGGGGTGTGTCTTGCAGTTTCTTAGCGACCACGCCTAGGGACATGGTTCACATCAGACCGTGCTTCTTGAACACCAGGGGGTGCGGGCCGCAACAGGTAACACCATCACAGGGGGTGCAGGAGCAGGATGCCAGCAGAGCTTCTGGGCTCTGTGAAGGTCCTGGCCAGTTATTGGGGTGATCCCGGTTTCCGACACAGTGTCAGTTGCCCCCAGTGTAGTGGTAAAATGAGT